GCACAGCCTGCTTCTTTTTTAAAACTCCTCTCCTGGGGGTATTTTTTCCCATTGATTTCCAGAGAGAGTGGAAAGGAGGAGGAGGGGGAGAGAGAAACATGGACATGAGGGAGATAATTGGCTGCCTCTGCCACATGCCCCTATGGGGCCTGGGGAACCTGCAACCGAGGTGTGTGCCCTTGATCAAACTTGAACCCCGGACTCCGCAGTCTGCAGGCTGGCGCTCTAACCATTGAGCCAAACCAGCCAGGGCTGGAGGCCCATTTAAAGTCTCTCTAAGGACGATGTTTCAGTTCTAAGGAGGGAGTGTTTGTTGATTTATGGTCACCTCTCACCTGCAGGTGAGCGCTCGGAGCACCTGGTTCGATGCAGCCCAAACAATGACCCTGCATCTTCTGTGCTCACCCGAGCCCAGGTGCCGAGCTGGACGCCCCTGCAAACTGCCCGGGTCTTTGCGATCTGTCCTCCTAGGATCACGGTGCCCTGCTCCTGAGTGACCGGTCCTCCCACAGCCTGACCCAGGCCCCCACTCCACAGCCTTAGTCATCGTCCCCATGCTCGGCTCAGGGTGTGTGGAAGCGCTGGGGCCTTTTAAAGTTCAAAGTCCACAACGATAATAGAGAGGCCGCCAGTGTGGGCGGCGGATGCGGGCCAGCTGCGTCCCTATGAGCCTCACCCCCACCCCTGCCCCCCGCCTGTGCACATGTGTGCACACGCTCACTCGCTCACACTCACCCACACATGTGCCCTCACACCCACACTGGCCACTCCTTGAGGCCATTCCTGCCAGACACCCCCCTTCCCCCATCCAGGCAGCAAGTGTTGAAACCTCCTCTGCCCTGCCCTCCTCTCCCCTGCTGTACCCTCCGACCCTGTGACCCTCTGTCTGTTTGGGCCTCTCCCACCCTCCTCCTGTTCCAGGTTCTGGGCCCTCCCAGTGGAGCTCTGAGAACAGGCAGTCCCCCCCGCCCACCCCAGCTCCTGCTTCCCTCCTCTTCCACCTCCCGCAGCTTCCTGGAGAGAGGCCAGGGTGAAGCCAGAGAGCTGGCCACAGAGCTGCAGGTCACACCCAGGAGGGCCTAGGGGTCCAGCTCTCAGCCACCAGGCCCTTCCTGGGCCAAGTTCATTTAAGGAGACCTGAGCCACGTGGCTGCACTTTCCTCCCAGCAGCCGCCTGCTGAGCCCACTGCACTCACTGCCCAGGAGGCCGGGGGAGCGGGAGGCAGGGCTGAGGCACAGACAGGGGGATGGGTCTCCCTGTGAGCCCCGCAGTGAGAGGTCTGGGGGTCCTAACCCAGCAGGAACATGGCTCTCCCCGTTGCAGGGCCAGAATCTGAAATCGGGTTCGGGGGCTGGGCTCCCTTCGAGGGCTCCAGGGAGGGTCCCTCCTGCCTCTTCAGCGGCTGGGGGCTCCCGGGGCTCCTGGCTGCATCCCTTTAATCTCAGCCTTGTCCTCACATGACCCTCCTCCAAGTTCACGTGACCACACACCCTCGTTCACGTTACCACACCCCTATGTTCGCATGGCCCCACCCGCTTATTCACATGACCAAGTTAATGCAAAAAGCATTCAAACCTGTAAAGAATTTCTGTGAGTTTATTTGAGCCAAACTGTTGACAGTCGCCAGGGAGCAGGATCTCAAGGCATTAGGGTGATGCTCCGGAGAAGGTAGCTTCTCACCTTGTTGGAGAAATTATCCTCAAAGGAGGAGACGTAGGTGGGTCACATGAAACTCATTGGTGACAGATTAGGGAGGCGGGAGAAAGCAATGGGGAACTCTGGGATTGGACAGAGTGAAATGATAGACACATGCTTCTCACACAGGTGGGCACAGGATCGTTAACAGCGGACAGTTAACAGGATATAACAATAACAATGAGGGAACTTGTGCTTTCCGCCAGGGTACCATTTGTGGTGTCCTGAGGGGTATTTGTTACCCGGATGTTTCACAGGTGTTTTCTTAGATGCAAAAAGGCAATAGGCGGGTAAAGATGAAGCTGATCTCTGGCCTCCCTGGTCCCGTCCTCCTGCGGCTCAGGCCCCTTCCTCCCGCCTTTAACTGAGAACTCTGTGCCCACAATGTGGGGCGATGCCAGCTCTGGGTGCTCCAGGCCCGGCGAGCTGGGGCCCTCGGAGCACAGGGAAGCTGTGTCCCATGGACTCCCACATCCCTGCTCACATCCCCATCTTCCCACAACGTGCGAACTCACTTGTCCACAGGTCCGGGTCCCCCCTATCCCCCCCCACGCCCGCCCCCCAGAAGAATGGAGTCCTGCCTGAGTTGCCTATTTAGTTCAACATTCCTGATCTGTACCCAGGTCTCTTCTACGACTGTCTTTCGCAGAGGTTGTGACGTGCCTGGCTCCCGTGCTAACGAGGAGGATAAAGCCTCTAACGCTTGGCCGCATGGTACCCAAAGGAGAAGCGTGGTTTCGCCGTTTTTGAAGATTGGGAACAGGGATCAGACTGAGCTCGGATCTCACCTCTATGGCTGACCTCGTGACCTCCGGACGGACGCGCCTCTGAAGGAGGCTGGTGAGGACTGGAGGGTTCGCGCACAGGAAACTCGGGGCGCCCAGGCTCAGACCGGGGCCCCCTGGCTCTCGGGGCCGGGCCGGCCACAGCCTGACTCACACAACTGGAGACCCAGGCGCACTGGCCCCGCCCCTCCGCCTCCGCCTCCAATCAGGCCCCGCCTCTGGTTATAAGGTCGCATCCCGGTGCCGGCACAGCCTAGAGCGCTGGCCCGAGTCCCCGGAGCCCAGTTAGAGCAGCACAGCCGCGTCGCACGGTTCCCATTGGCTGGCGGGGGG